GATATGGGACTAGCCTGGGTTTGTTGTGGGTTTGTGCTGCGGCTTGCACCGGACTTTTGTTCTTGGTCAAATGGGAGAACGCGAAGAGGGAGAGGGGCGAGAGGGATGGAAGACTGCAAGAGGTGGATGCTGATAATCTGGGTGATGATCATCCGATGTTCAGGCTTACGTCTTGAGGCAGGGATGCCGAATGCCTTGTGAGACGAAAGTGCAAATTCAAATGGAAAGCTCTGGTAGCAGTTCAAAATAGACGTTTGGTACTGTATCTAGATGATGCCTACCTCGTCTGTATTGTGGGTTCTTCTTTGTGCATTCTCAAGGTGCATGGTACATGCCTTCCCTGCGTCAGTGCTGCCCAAGCACCAAAGGTCACGATAGAGTTTCACCCGGCATGTTTCTACCTGCTGCGTCATAGCAACTAATGTGATACCCAAAGAGTGTTTATAATATCTGCCAATCTTTCTCAGTTTCCATCGGACTCATAGCTGCGTCGGTCCAATCATCCTCAGATCCAATCTCGTCTTCGGTGTCAGATTTGAGAACTGGTGAAGACGCTGACGTCTCTTTGGGCTCTCCGTCATTCCTTATCTCATCCTCTGCTGTGCCGAGTCCATCGGACAAATCTTCCTGAGCCTTGTCTTGCTCGTCCGGGCTATCCTCCCCATTGTCCTCGCCCATTATTTGATTGCTGAATGGCCGCGTATTCTTCGTGTGTGGTGGCGTAGTCATGGCCTCAAAGAATGCTCTAGCATTGCTGTATTCTCTTGTCTCACCACTCCACAGAATACACCCGACTATGATCTTTACATCATCTCTGTGTAGAAGGATGCTGAACTCGCTCGCCGCACCCCAGAGACTCATCTCATCATCCCATATGTTGAGACACAGTGTCTTGAATCCAGTCAAATGCTCCAGAATGTAGTTGGCTAGCTCGGCAAATGCTCTTTGGGTAGCCTGTGCTGAACAGTCTTCTTCGTAGGGTTGCACGAGAAGAGATAGACTTGTAACGTGTTGGCGAGCAGATGGACCGATGCTTTCTAACCACTTTTGAGTCGCAAACGCTTGGTACCGTCCGCGTGGGCACGGGCCTGTGAGTAAAAGGAAGTTGCGGCGTTCGTATACTGTCGGCTCGGCATCTTCATGGACTTGGTTGCGGCGCTCCTTTTCTTCTTTTGTTGCCGGTCGCAACATGTTGACTGGACCATGGGCGGATTGGAGCACCCATAGCTCTTCTTTTCTCGTTTTGAAGCGGACTTCGGGGCCGACGCATTTGCTTCGAGTGTAGATGTGGCCCGGCTCTCTGCTGTCTTGCGAGGGAAGATCGGATCTTGGACATCGACAAATGTCGATTTGTGTTTGTCCGGCAAAAGTGGTGTTGCTGGGGTTCTCGAAATGAGGCCACTCCAGAGTATAGTTGATGGTCGTTACGTTGTCTGTCGTTGAGAGGTGTGGCATCGGTTGATTCGGACTTCGATACATAGCACCGGCGCCGGTGTGGACTGTTGGGGGAATCTGCTTGCGAGAGTGAGGTCCGACGGCTTTGACCAAACTGAGAACTCCTTTGCTGTAATACACCGTGCTGCCCAGACCGTACTGCGGAAGGCGCGTGATGCTCTCTGTTCTGGCTCACTTGGTTTACTTTTTCGTCAAGTCGCCCAAACACGAGGCTGATAATAGGTCATCATGCATACCGCTACTCTCACTACGCCTGAGATACCAACCACACTTTGTACGAACCCTATGAGATACCGGATGAGGAAATGCTGTGCGCCTAGTTAAGCTAAGAATAGTAAGCTATGCTGGTACAGCTGAGTACGAGACGAGGCGAGAATGCGTCAGCGCACGATTGCGCGTGGCGAGAAACAGGGTGGAAGTTGTGAAGTCTTGATGTTGTCGGTGAAGTAACCGTGAGTGTAGCGGAGGGTAGGTAGGTGAGACGGGCAGATGGGAGCTATTTGTGGGGTCCGGTGAGCAACGCGCACCAGCGTGAGGTGTCGGTATGCTAGGAATAGGATTCCTGCGCACATGTCACGCCCATGTCTTTGCAGAAGCGAGACGGGGTCAGCGCGAGTCGATCATGCAGTGGTGCAGTGTCGATGATAGGGCAGCCACGTCATTGGCCCAAGCGTGTTGGATTACATGGATAAGCGTCACGATCACGGAGCTTCGCGACATGCACGCCTCTGTTGACGCGCCATGCCATAGTAAACACAACGCCGCTGTCTAGATGACCCTCGCCCGCTGTCTTGATGGCCGAGACTGGGAATGCTGAGCCCCAGACGCCGATCTCTGAGGGACCCAGCTCGCCCACCACACCCACGCAGGAGAGCAGCAATGCGTCGGCCAAGTCGATTACCGGGGAGCCGATTGAGCAGCAGGACTTCGCCAACCCGACCCTCAGCATAATACGGAACTTCTCGCGCAGCACGTCTGCAAGTTCGGTGGCGACGAAAGAAGAAACCCCTCCGCCGCTGCCACCCCGACCCGCCCTTGGTTTACTCTCGCGACCCTCGACATCGCACTCTACGGCCGCTGGGAGACCCCAACTCCTCTCCAAAGCCACCACACAGCTGTCTATCGCGCGGACACAGGCGTTCGCGACCGACGCGAAAGATGAGTCGCCCACGTCCTCGGGACCCAAAACACGCGACGTCCTGGGCGCAAGCCTAGGCGCTCACAACCTCAGCGATGCCGACGACGGCGCGAGTATACGCAGCTATGCGCCGACAATAGAGGCGGCAGGCTATCAGGAGAGCCTCCTGGGCGAAGTCATGGGCCAGGCAGAGAAGTCCGAGCAAGAGAAGTCACTGCTCAGGACGCTGGGCCACAAGTTCGTCGATGCCGAAGCGCAAAGCATGTTCCCGCCAGACCCATACTTTGAAGAGGCTTTTCGTCGCGAGTTCGATGAGGTCGACGAGATGGCCATGGATGGGTCGAATGAAGGTCAGAAACACGGCATGTACCTAGAGGTAGCCCTCGCTGATGTAGTCAATAGAAGCCGTTATGCACCAGTGGCGCGCAAAACTGAAGCATTTCCTCATCCTCTCGAGTGCCGGCAAGCCCATCTACAGCCGACATGGCGACGACCAGCTCATCACGAACTACATTGGTGTCGTGCAGACCATCATATCCTTTTACCAGTCCACCAACGATATATTGAGAGGATTCACAGCAGGAGACGTACGTTTTGTCGTCATGTCCAAGGGCCCGCTGAATCTGGTAGCCATCACGCGCTTGCCAGAGAGCGACTCCCAGCTCCGGTCACAGCTCGAGGCACTCTACATGCAGATCCTATCCACTCTCACGCTTCCTAGTATGGAGCGCATGTTTGCTGCGCGTGCGAACTACGATCTTCGCAGACCGCTGCAGGGAACAGAGACACTACTATCAGCGCTTGCAGATGGCTTCACAAGAGGCTCACCATCGACACTGCTCTCCGCTCTCGAGTGCCTCAAGCTCCGCAAGTCCCATCGCACCACCATCAACAACACACTCTTGAAGACCCGCTCCGAGAATCTGCTCTACGGTCTTCTCGTCGCATCCGGGAAGCTCGTGTCCGTCGTCCGGCCCAAGAAGCATAGTCTGCACCCTGGTGACCTGCACCTGATCTTCAACATGCTCTTCGAAGCCGGTAGCGTCAAGGCTGGGGGTGGAGAAAACTGGATCCCACTATGCTTGCCAGGGTTCAACAACACCGGCTACTTGTACATGTACGTAAGCTTCCTCAATCTCGAACATCCAACGGAGCAAATGCAAGAGCGGCCTCGCACGAGCGATGGAGCCGACGACGAAGTCGCGGTCCTCCTGATCAGTGCGGAGAAGGAAAGCTTCTTCGAGCTTAGACGTATGAGGGATGATTTAGTCGAGGTAAGCTCACAGTTTCTTTACATTCCACTGCAAAGTCTCCTTAATACACGGGGGACCGGGATGAGACGTGAGGACGCGTGGAATGCTAGTCAAATGGCCTCTCTTTCCCGCCCCAGGACGTTGTCCCGTGCCTTAAGATTGATGCGTCGAACGATGTGGGCTCGAACGGGCTCGGAGGCGAAATTGACTCATTCTCGGTGTTCTCCCATGGGTTCTCATGGGTTTATTGCCGGTAAGCGCGAATTGTATACCCGTACGAGGCCCACGGGGCAACTTTGCGATTCGGCTTCGGACGTCAGCATCTCCGATGGTCCTAGCCCATCCTCCCGGTCGGATTCCGCATTCCCTTCCCTTTGCCCCGGTCACCGCGTCCTTTCGGTCCTTCGATGGTCCCGTTCGTTTGGTTCCAACATGGCCAGGGTTATTTAACAAAATCGCAATGCTTTCGGTAGATGTTTCGTGGGCTAACGGGTGTTTCCGCAGAGCTTGCAACGCAATGGATCCATTGAGGCTATACGCACAGCTGTGCAGCAAGGCCGTCCCACTTGTACAGACATTGTGCCCGGCAGTCCGCTGAGGCACTTTCTGTATAAGTCGAGGGGTAATGTGCAGTTCACTATGCCGAGCTACACACCTTACTTCGAGGGTGATCTGGAGAAGAGACGGTCCGTATCCCCACCCTTGGCACGTGATTTCGCAATCAACTGCCCCACATGCATACCAAGAAGCCTTGCTGACACTATCGTCTCCTCTAGATTGATCGACCTGTACAATAAACTTCACAGTAATCTGCACAACAAGCCGTCGACGCTTAAGGTGCATCATGAAACCAACACGACGTGTATAGCGTTAGCGTGGAGTACACCGCTGTTTGAGCTTTATGCTGTTGCGCCGGCAAATACGTCGAGGGCAGCGCTTGCACAGAGTGCGAATAAGGTCATTCAGTGGGTGCGACGAGAAGAGGAGAGAGTATTCATCATTGGAGGTGCTGTATTCTAGAATCTTAAGCACGCCAGGTGTTACAATCGGTAGAGCTTATATACCCATTAAAGCAAGGCAAGGGGAAAATAAAAGTATACCACAAACATCTTTATTGGGACTATCATCAGAGGCACTATGCAATGCATCTCCAACTAAGCCTTTGGCAAATAGCCAGCTCCCCTCATCTGCTCAAACACGTCCCTCAGACTTCCCCACGTATCTCTGTAGCCAGTCCAACCAAACTCCCTCGCCTTGCTCATGCTAATCACCAGATCAAAGTTGCGCCCCAGCGCGAACCCGGTGAAAGCCCACGTCGCCTTGTCAAAAGTACTCTTGTCCAAGCCTTCGCGCTCAGCAAGACGTTCCCATGCAGCCTTGACATCCTGACGCTGCGACCACTTGACCAAATCCACATGCTGCTCCACGACATTCTTCTCCAGCGCCGGCGTGCCCTCAATCCCAATCTCATCTGCAACAGCGCTGATAGGAGGCTGAGGCGCCATATCCATAGCACTCGACATGTCCTCTTTGCCCACAACTTTCTTGATGAGGGTAGATCCCACACCACCGCTTGTATACGCATCTTTGAACTGATCGGGCTTAACTCTCCCACCAAAGTACTCAACAACCTTGGGCCAGAGGTTCTGCCAGCTCTCTACATCGCCGTTGAAGACGTTGAAAGCTTGATTCGCAGCGCGCGGCTCCAGAGCCGCCCAGGCACAGAACTCAGCGTGTAGCTTGGAAGAGGTAAAGGAGTCGAATTTGGTGTAGAAGGCGGGTGAGCCGGGGAACGTGAGACCTTCGTTTCCGGAGAGCTCTTTAGATACGAGGGTGTAGAGAGCAATGGCGGAAGAGAGGTTCATGAAGTTTCCCGTAGCGAAGCCGATGACGTCGTTGGGGTAGGTGGCCACCCACTCTTTATTGTGTTTCTTGCAGAAATCGTGCAGGATATTTTGCTGGTTGTAGTAGAAGTTTGGTGGCCATTTCGATGTGTCGGTCAGCCAGGGAAGGTCTTCGGTCATGGGTTGTTTGGGCATGCCTAGGTGGACGCCGTATTGCTTGCAACCGCATACTAGGATGATTCTCTTGACATCTGAGACTGCGCCGGTCTTTTCGAGGGCGGAGAGGAAGTCGGAGAGCATGCGGCCATTGACTTCCCAGGCGTCTTCTTCTTTGTCTTGGGCTAGGTAGGCGGCGAAGAAGATGTATTCGCCGCGCACGTTCTTGAGATCGTTGGCCATCTCATCGGGAGAAAATTGCAAGTCGATGTGGTTGTGAATGACATTGTCGGCATAGTCTTCCTTTTTGCTGCGCGAGAGGGCATGGATTGTGGGCCATTGTTGGCGGTGTTGGCTGAGTTCGGAGACAATCTCACGGCCAAGGATGCCTAGGCCAGGTAAGGATAGGACCGAAAAGAGTGACTTTGGTACGTACCAGTTGCTCCGGTGATTATTGCAGAAGGCATGTTGTAGTGTGTGAGCTGTGTGAATCGGTTGCTGTGTAAGTTGACGTTGGATGAAGTGACGGTATAAGAAGCAAATGGTTGTGATTCATGCATGACGTAAGAATGCATTCATGAAGAGGTATGTCACTAATAGACCTCATGGATCAACATCCACTTGGCAAGATAGTACATCTAAGGTGGCGATGCGCTCACGGCTATTGCATCCGGCGAATTGTATCGATGCGGTAATGCATCGGTCACAGATGTCTGCCACGATTGCAGCACCCAGTCCAGGAGCGGTATCTTCGTGTATGGGTTGCACACTTGAGCCGAGTGAGAATGCGTGGCATTGTAGAGAAAGTGCTATGAATAATCCTTGCTTCCATGGCTTCCAAAGAAGATATAGTGGTAGTAGACATAGAGCATATGGATCCGAAATTGGCACCAAGTCGAGAATTTAAAACTCGCATGTTCGTGTCTCAGCCAGCCACATATGAAAGTGACCTCTGTCTCGTCCTGTCTTCTGAGCAAGCTTGTAGTCTCCTTCGTCGAGCTAGGACAGAGTGAATCCAGCATGGTCTGGTGGGATGTGTGGTGAAGAACATGCCCGGCATAGGAGGATGCTTTGCGAAGCCGCACGTCCGACAGGTTCATGCCTTGCCGGTTTGCCCTCTAGCCCTAGAAGACGCATCTTCGTTCGCGTGACTCATGTATTGTGCCTGTCGTACGCTCTTCGACCATTGTACTCCCGTCTCATGGCGAATCAGATGCCAGGTGTCGCGTGTCGCGGGGTCTCCGATGTGTTCGTAACGCGTTTTGTATAGAGTGAGAGGGGAGGAGCGGTCTGGAATTGAAGGCGTTCTCATTTGGGAGGGCGCTTTTGCCATGTAAGTTCGCGGAACTGGTTCTTCACTTCATCTCTGAAGTGGTCGAGGGATGATGGGCCGGTTCCTGGAGAAGTCAATACTTAATTGTCTAGCCGGTGTTGATCAAGACATACTGCCTCCGCCATTCTTCTGTTCAAAGTCGGGCAGCCTGTTGATCTTGCGGTAGGCCTTCTGGATGGCTCGGTTGAATGCCGGGGAGCGGATGAGCTTCGAAGAGTCAGTAGCTGTAGCGACATGGGGATGTGGAGGATTGCCGACGTGCCTTTGCGACGGCCCAAGCCTTGCCCAGCTGTCAGCTTGATGTTTCTGTTTGGGTGGGGGATGGCACAAACCTCGAAGAGAGCGAACCAGGGAGCACCCATGATTTGTTCAATCAAGCATTCACAAGCGCGGGTAGCTGCTACGGCGAGATAGCAGATGCGTGCAGGCGTTGCGTTGGGGGAGGGGTGGTGGCAACGGTGTGGGAGTGATGGATCATCAATGGAGCAGCCTCGGAATGGCGAGCGGAAGCAACTAGACACAACGGGACTGGCCCTGCCTGCACCTGTGACGCGACCGCGCCTGACGTTTGATGTGGACCCTCGCTTCATTGATTGTTTCTTCTGGTGACGTACAAATGTTTGGTTTCTAACATCTCAAGTCTCCCATCTTCTTTTCCGTGACTGCATCATCTTCTTACCATCGCTGGGGATCACGTCGGCCGCCTTGTCAGCCTGCTCGACAACGCCTTGACCTGCCCGCGCACCCCCGCCAGCTGCTCCACTACACGCTCGCGTACAGCCCCTCATCTAGAAGACGCCTCGCTGGAACCTGGTTCTTGGGCGCTGCACGCCGTTGGCTGGATAATCTTACAGTCGCCTTCCTCGCGCGACAACAGCCTCGGAATCGCCTTGGACACCAGTTGTCAACGTCCCTCGGCCAGCCGCTGCACAACTGCGCATCGTCGCCCGGCGTATTGCTATACGCTGCTCCATCGCTAGATATCAATCTGGCAAGGCCCCGGACCCCCACGAGTCGCACACGTGTCAGTGGAGGCATATCATCTGCGGCACTCCACTATCAAGCCCGTTATTCCTTTCTTGGACGCGCCACGCCTGCACCTAACCGCCTCCCGTCACCATCCCCTCGTCAAACTTTCTTGCTCCTCCACTGCCAGGACCCGAATCGCTCCCGGAATCCCATAACACCTCCTTCAAGCTGCATAAACTCCGCGCCCTCCGGCGCAAGGCGAAGCTCAAGGGCGTCCTCATCAGGACCGACCCAGCCATGGCTCAAGCCGGCGATGCCATCTCGCCTACCTCGTCCAAGCGCTCCCGTAGCAAGGACAGCACGCGATCAATCACCACCTCGTCCCTCAACACCCCGGCCGCCAACACTCCCTCTGTGAGCACGAATAGTCTCGTCATCTCCACTGCGCCCGTCCCAAGCGAAGCAAACGGCGAAGATGCAGTTCCGTATCCCGCTTTCCTCAAGCAGAGCAAGGACATAAATACCAAATGGAATCGCTTGGAGATGGCGCAAATGGAGCGCCTAAGGGATACGGCCCAGGGGACTGGACCCGACGAACCCGGCAAGTGGGCAAGGTGCTTTGGGGAAGACTACGCCATCCGCAACCGATACATCAACGTCGACCCATACCAGTCCAACAGAGTGCATCTTGACGTACCAGAGGGCCATTTCGATTACATCAATGCCTCGCCAATACTGCTCGAGACCACCAAGTCTGGGACGGCGCTCAAGTACATTGCGACCCAAGGCCCCAAATCCGACAGTTGGTCGCATATCTGGCGCATGATATGGAAGGAGAACCAGTCGCCCGCAGTCATAGTCATGCTGACCCAGACCCACGAAGCGAACCGAGAGAAATGCTACCCTTACTACCCGCAATCGCCCTCGAGTCCGGACATGCGCATCAACGAGCACGACGAATTCGAAGACGGTTTCGTACACAACCTTCACCTCGCGTCGTACACAATAGATGAAGAGGCGAGGACGCAAGTGAGGGAAATCGATATGACAACGGATGACGGCAGCGAGTCGAGGAAGATCTGGCATCTGCTCTTCGCTGGCTGGCCAGACTTCTCGGTACCAGAGGGCGACGATCGCGCTGGCATGCTGAAGCTGGTGGGCATATCGCGATCCAAGAACACAGACAACTCGGCCAACCCACGCATCGTTCACTGCAGCGCAGGCATCGGTCGCAGCGGCACCTTCATTGCGCTCGACTGGCTTATGCAGGAGCTTGACGAGGGTGCCTTGGACGATGTACCAGAGGACGAGGATCCTGTACTGAGAGTTGTCGAGATGCTCCGAGACCAGCGAGCTGGCATGGTTCAGTCAAAGATACAGTTCCAGTTCATATACGATGTGATGCGCGAGCGATGGCGCGAACGATGGATCTCTGAACATCCCGACGAGGCAAACCAGCTCGGCCTCGCAATCGCAGCGCCCACATCCGATAGCGAACAACCCGCTCTCAAGCGCCAAAAGTCGTTACACAACAGCGAAGCCGCCGGCGAAAGCCTTACGCTGCTACCATCACGACCGGCGAGTTCACGAGGTGCGTCCAGCTCGCCAGCGCCAGATGCAGAGGCACGCGCACAGCTGGAAGCCGAGCTTCAGGATGCGGACATGGAGTATGAGAAGGGCAAGACATAGTCGTTTCTGCACTTACTGAAGCCTTCACGCCGACCACGCAGGAAGGCGACACCATGGACTCCGCTTCGTCCACCCGTGCAGTCTTATCATACATTCGCGGACACTATTCCACCTCCTACAGATGCTGGTGCTCCACCTGCAATGGTGATTACCGGCGGTGTGCTCGAGAACGTGGGTGCAGATGGGGAGGTTGAGCAGCAAGACGGCGCTGTTGACCTCGAAGCGCAACCTGCTCCGCCACCACCACCACCCTCTCCTCGTCGCAATTCTTCCGACGACACGTTGCCGGGTTCGCGTCCTCCGTTGGGGGAAGTTTGTGGCCGTTATCACGTTGTTTTGATCATGATGGGTATTACTTCGGCCTTGGTTGTTGGCTTTATGTTTGTGTACTGGGATGCCGTAGATAGAGTTTAATTGTGTGTCCTGTTTTTAGTTCAGAAAGCATAGCGTTGCGAATACCCCTCGGATTGGGTCGGTTTGGTTTTCGGTCACGGCGGCGGTAAGCAAAGCACAGCGAAAGCAGCATCGTCTGCGATCGTGCGTGCGCTTTATTGGTAATTTAGATCTATCCTTCTTCGCTGTTCATCTCGATCCCGTCTTGCGTCTTTTAGTGGTATCATGCTAATCTTTCTGCTGTTGCTCGTCTTTATCGCGAAACACACTACGGCCGTACCTTTAGGGCTTATTTGCGCTCAGTCCGTGGACGTTGCTCCGCTTCCCGTGACAGTTCTAGACTCTAATATAAGCTTTCGCAACGGGTTTACTAAACACGACATGTTTGCCCCCAGAACTCAGTCCGTGTACCAAGACCACCAAGATGCCCCAGATTTTCGCAGTCTTTACTGTGTTTTCTCTAGCGAAGACGGCGTCATGTCTCCGCGTTTTGACTGGGTACTTGCTCCAGCTTCACGATGCACAGATAGATGAGGCTGTGTGAGGAAAGAGAAATCTGCCTGCCCAGGTGATATATTGGCTTCTTGGCTTTCTGCACGAGAGGACATGTATTTGTCTGCCTTGTACATTGACTTCCATGCTGTGACCAAACCCTCGCGAATACCCTCACGTCGCCTAACCTCAAGGACCACCGCGTCGTTCAAGCTGACCAATGTAGCTACAGCTGCCTAGCCAGCTAACTCACTCAACTCATGTACTTACCTGCATACTACTAAGCAGCCACAATAGTCCTGTTTCGCAACTCTAGTCCCGTTCGTTATCAATTCGACACAGCCGGTTTGACTTGAAACAAAATGTCGCACCTTGGGACGTATCATCAAGCCACACCACCGGAGACTTTTTTTGCGAGAGTGAGGGGGCCTGGACCCGAGACTTGTTCATCGGTCTTCGCTTATCGTGAGTCTGGGTTGGGCGATTGGTTTGTTGTTCTAAGGGTGGGAGGTACATCATCGGTGTAAGCTTACTCGAGCATGCCTTGGCCGTTTCTTTTTCCTTTTCTTGGGTAGAGGTGGTGATCAGGAA